TGAAGCCCAATTTTTCCAGCACCATTTATTAAAGAGGCTATCTTTCCTCCAGTGAGGGTGTTTGGCTCCTTTGTCAAAGATGAGGTGGTTGAGTGTGTCTGGAGTTGTTTCTGCATCTTCTAACCTGTTCCACCGGTCCTCAGGTCTGTTTCTTTGCCAGTACCATGCTGTTTTGATCACAGTAGCTTTGTAGCATAGTTTCAAGTTGGGGGTTGTAGTACCCCCTGCCATGTCTCTGTTACCTAGAATTGCTTTTGCTATTCTAGGTCTCTTTTTGTTCCAAATGAATTTCTGGATTGTTTTTTCAAGGTCCATGAAGTATGCCGCTGGGATTTCAATTGGGATTGGATTGAATCTATATAGCAGTTTTGGAAGTATGGCCACTTTCACTATGTTGATTCTTCCTACCCAGGAGCAGGGGATGTCTTTCCATTTTCTGATATCACCTTCAGTCTCTCTTTTCAGAGTGCTATAGTTTTCAGAGAAGAGGTCTTTGATTTCTTTTATTAGGTTACTTCCTTGGTATTTCAGTTTTTTGGATGCTATTGTGAAAGGAATTGTTTGCCCTATTTCTGTCAGCCATAGGTTTGGTTTAAGCATGGGGAGATGTGACTTGTTTTGGCTTTTACAAAGAGTATTTTGGTGGCAATGTGAAGAAAGGTAGATGAGAAAGGGGGCATCAGTGAAGAGATTAGAGATAGCAAAATGAGTGAGGCCATTACTGCAGTAGGAGTAGGACAGATAAGGGCCTGAACTCAGATATTTGGCATAAGGAAGAGTAGGAGAATGCCGGAGAGACTGACCAAGAATAAATATTTTGGGTGAGGAAGGAGGAAAACAGTGGAACTGCAGTGAGTTGAATAAATGAGAGGCAAAGCTTTTCCTTGAGAAACTTGGATATTTATTTATTTATTGGTACCGAGAATTGAACTCAGGACCTTGTGCTTGCCTGGCAGGCATGATGCCACTGAGCTAAATCCCCGGTGAAACTTGGATTTTTAAAAGATGAAGTTTCTTTTTACATGCCAGATGCTTGAGCAACTTTATAGACTGAGGAAAGAGAGATTAAAGGTGTAAAAGAGTGTAAGGAGCAGTGTGAAAGCTTCTGATGTCGCTGGGGAATTCTTAGGCAACTTACAGAGGAGTGTACCTGAAGGGCAGGTGTTTACCAGAGAAGTGGAATGCTGGCTGTCATCATGGAGAGGCAGCTTGTGGATTCTGCCAAGGTAGTGGTTGAGATGACACACTGTCCCCTACCAGTGGTGGCTAATCTGTGCCACAGCAGGCAGTTTGTTATCATTGAAAGCTCTAAGAGGTTTGCCATCACTGCCCTAATACCATCAGGTCTACATAGGGTAGAGGACAAGGTGCATTGAAGAAGAAGAGGCACCAGAATAAGTCAAAGAGGGATTAAGGGGCTTGGTGGGAAAGTCAGGGAGGTATTAGTATTAGTATTAGAAGGGAATAAGTAGATGATAAATACAGGTTAGGTTAAAGGATTGCTTAAGAAAGTCTGTGATATAATTCTGTAACCTGAAGAACAGATTTAGGAAGACACACAGATTTTGGCTTACACTGTCCTATTTGATTTACACTCAGCCTGTCTGGACCAATGGGCTGCGATGGGTACTTATCTCATACATTTGAATAGGTCCTGATGAATATCCCACTTTTTTCTCACATGAAATTAATTAATCCAAATACCTCTATTTGTTGGGTGGAAGTGATACAAAAGTTGTTTTAAGGGCTGTCATGCCCTCAGGGAATTCCTCAGGAATGCCTTAGGTGTGAAGGAGGCAATTAGTATTTTTTTTTTTTTAATTTTTTATTTATTTATTTTTTTTCTCTTTTTGGTATCGGGGATCGAACTCCGGTCCTTGTGTTTGCGCAGCAGACAGCGAAACCACTGAGCTAAATCCCCAGCCCTTGTATTTTTAAAGTAATCCACTTTAGTTCTCTCTCATTAATTTCTCTCTGATCAACTTGCTAATTTAATTTTAGCATTTTTATAATCTTAGAAGAAAAAATGGCTCCCTGAATTCTCTTATGTTTCAGATGTTAATTATCCTGGGACTTGGTTAAATCTTCTAGTCTTGTCACTGGAAAAGAGTTTCTTTGACTTGTAAACGTGAAACGAATAAGTTGTAGTTTTATATGTGCTTTGTTTTCATAAAATTGAAAGACTGAGATGATTAGTTTACTATGTAGAAAGAAATTTTACACAAAACTTAGAAGGGAAAATTATGCAATAGTTCAGAGCATTTCACTCGTTTTTTGTGTGGATGTTTTCAAATGATATAGTAGAAAATGTACTGTTTCTCTTATATTGGATAGAATTTTTTAAAATGCAGTTTATAAAAATATATCTCCAAGTTCTTTTTGTTGAAAGGGCCTGGAAGTAGTGGCATACTATTAGCAGTGAGCATACCTTGAGACCATATTTTGGTTTCTGAAAAACTGCCTCCTGCTGGATGTGGTGGTACATGCCTATAATCCTAGCTACTTGGAAAACTAGGCCAGGGGAATCACAAGGTCAAGGCCAGCATGGCCAACTTAGCAAGATTCTGTCTCAAAAATAAAATGTAAGGGCTGGGGATTTAGCTCAGTGGTTCCCCCGCCTGCCTCACAAGCGCAAGGTCCTGAGTTCGATCCCCAGTACCAAAACAAAACAAAACAAACAAAAATAAATAAATAAAATGTAATCCCAGCACTCAGGAGGCTGAAGCAGGAGGATTGCTGAGAGTTTGAGGTCAGCCTGGGCTACATAGTGAGTTCAAGCCAGCCGGAACTACATAGCAAAACCCTGTCTCAATAAACCAAAATAAAAATATGATTTAAAAGGACTGGAGTAGTAGCTCAGGGGTAGTGCACTTGATGAGCATTTATGAGACCCTGGGTTTGATCTTCAGCACTCCCTAATAATCTCTTAATCTCTTGCTGAAAGGACTCAGCACTTTAGAGAAATGGCTGATTCTAGGGTTGGCATAGGGAAA